CCCCCCCCATTAGAGCGAGAGCAGGACCTTCTGCGACGTTGAGGCAGGACATTAAGTGGTGAGGGTCCGTCTCTGGTGAATCGCAAGTTCAGCCAATCCGCAACAGAAACAGGTTCAGTCCCAAGAAATCCAAAGAGTTCAGGGAGCTGTGATGGAGAGTGTAGGTGGAAGGAGTCAGGGCCCTTACAACCTGAAGACTGTAAGGGTGTCCCCAGCGGTACATGGCTTCGACTTAGCGGATGACATCCAGCAATGGCCGCACTGATCTGGGCATGGCCAAGGTTAGGCAGGAGAGGTCTGGGAGGAGCTGTATGGAGGCGCCATCTAAATCAATCGGGCCTGTTCTCCTTGCGGAGGATCTCTTCTTTAATGGCAAAAAAAAATGTACCCAACAGAGGTTCCCCAGGTTAACACCCGAGACACGATGCACTCTATCAAGTTCAATTTCATCAGTAGTTGGTTTTCCCAGAGCCATATTGAGGATAGCTGTTACTGTAGCATGTAAATTAGGGCCTTGGGTAGCCTCTGGGATCCCTTGCAAGCGAATGTTATTGCGGCGGCTCCTATTTTTGCCATCTTCCACCCGCAGGTGTAGACCACCAGCCGGGTCTCCTGCATTGAGACTGAGGCCGACAGATTTGAGTCAGTGGCAATGACTCACTGGCTGAGCTCCCTCACCTCACCCCTCAGAGCCCCCTCCAACCTCGTGGCCCAGGAGTCAAAGTCTGCCCGAAAGGCAGAGAAGAGGTCCTTCTGCGTACCTTGGTAGCTGCAGACTGCTCCGGGTCTAGGAAGACCGCCGGCATTGTGGGATCTAGGGCGGCTGTGGAGGGAGTCAGAGTTGCAGAAGACTGGAGGGGTGGCAGGGAGTCCCGCGTCCTCTGGCTAGTGGAGCGTACACAGGAGCGGAGGCTCTGGGTCGGTGTGTGTGGCTGCAGAGGATCCGTCCCAGCCCTCTTCGTCTGAGCCACTTTCGGTGCCATATTGCGGCCCACAGGTGCGGCGTCTTCGTTCAAGCGCTGCATGAAGTAAGAGGATATATGCCGGGTGAAAGAGGAGGTAGAAGCAGCAGGTGGGTCCCGATCGTAGGGCATAGGGTGAAAAAGTTGCAGATATGCCTGTAAAGTCCACTGTAGAGAGCCCCGGTGCAGCAGAGCTCACGGCTGCACGTCCTCACTCTACCATGCTCAGCCACGCCCCACTACCATCTTTCATATTTTACCAAAAAATTGGGTATTACATTATGTTTCTGTGCACTAAATTTTAGTTTATTTTTTCTTTAAAATACCGGTTTGAGAAACATTTGTGCAAATACCGTGCGACATAAGAAATTGCAACTAGCATTTTTTTAAATTCTACAGGGCCTCTGCTTTCAGAACATATATCATTGTTTGGAGGTCTGAAGCTGTTTTCTAGCCAAAAAATTATATTTTATCATGTGTGTGCAAATAGTAACAAAATGCTCTGACAGGAAGTGGTTAATCAGTCTGCAGCTTCTGCAGCCATTTTTCTGTTTTTGATTTTTTTTCCACCTCAGAGGAATGGCTTTTTGTTGACAATCCTTCCATTATAACCAATTTTAATGGGAATAATCAGAATGCAGATGGGTGTACCAGTGTGTGAACTGATAGCAGTGCTGTTTGACTTTGTAATTTTGAAGGAAAATAAGCTAGATGTATTTCTCAATTTTGTAGGTGAGCACTGTGTTTCCACTATTCAAACTTGCCCATTTGTTTGGAAGCACATCTCAAACTTGGAAGCACATCTCAAACCTGCCCGCTGCAACATTTATGCTTGGGAGAAAACTTGACGATGCAGGAGAGGACTACATTTTGTCTTGTCACTGTGCTTGCTTGTGCCATGGTGCAAGTTTTGCTACATATTCCACAACCTCACCTATTTGCTGTCACTGTCCCATTTTTATTCCCTCTACAGAGCTGTTTCTGTTTCACTTTTAGCGTAACACTAGGTTGAGCAATGACTGAGCATCTGCTAAAAATATTTTAAAAAAGCAACTCTGACTACTGTATTTGCCTGTTCTCCTGGGCTGTCCCCTGCAGAACCACTTGGTCATCACTCCAGCATTTCTTGTTTTCTTGGTTGGGTGACAGCCAGCATCATTCAACCCACTGCCTGTGAGTCACAGGCAAATGGAGACACAGACAGCAATAAAAATCTGAATGAGGTTAAAGCTTTTCCCAATTCTATTCAAAATTAAAATAAAAACATGGCTGAAGGTATACATCTAGAACATCTCTTACTGTATCACATCACTTTTTGCAAAAGGAATGATTGGAACTCTAAAATACAAATGTTTTTTAGTGAAATGCCCAAGACTCTGTGCATGTTTGTGTATGCATTTGCATGGATTGTGGGCCATAGGACATGCGCTAATAAAATGTTAAATCAGCATGTCATAGATTTCTGTATATTGCTCGCTGCACAGAAATCCTAGGAGAGGATTGATGGTGTGTTTTATTTGACATATTAAAGAAAATAACTTTGGCATGTTGTTGTTTTTTGACAATTTGTGTTACACCAAAGATAGTGCTTTCTCGCTATGTCATCATTTTTAATTCTTCTGTTTCTGTTCTGTACTCTAGTATTCTCTGTGTAGTGAGCCTCTGATTGAACTTTCTAACCCTGGGGCAAGTGGGTCTCTCTTTTATGTCACCAGTGATGATGAATTCATTATCAAGACAGTAATGCATAAAGAGGCCGAATTCCTTCAGAAACTGCTTCCTGGATATTACATGGTATGGCATTGGTCTCTAATTCTCTGAATCTCTTCTATACACCTCACTGTAAATACAATGCTTTATTTTCTTCTATATACCTATATACCTTATTTATAAATATGTTATTTCTAAGAACTAGAGTTATTTCCACAGAACCACTAATCAGAATAAAACTTTCAGGGCAGGTCTGATGCTGATTGGTGGCTTAGGAGCCATAACTCCAGTTTTATGTAACATGTTGATTTAGAAAGCTCTATGTGTTTTGAAGATAAATATAAGTTCTAGTTTGTTTACTATATATTTGTATCTAAAAAGAAGCCTTGTATTTTCTTCAACCTTTACAGAATCTGAACCAAAACCCTCGCACTCTATTGCCCAAATTCTATGGCTTGTACTGTGTTCAATCTGGTGGGAAGAATATCCGTGTTGCTGTAATGAACAATATCTTACCACGGGTAGTCCGTATGCATTTCAAGTATGACCTTAAGGGCTCTACTTATAAAAGACGTGCTTCCAAAAAAGAGAGAGAAAAAACGTGTCCTACACACAAAGACTTGGATTTCATGCAAGATGCACCTGAAGGACTGCTTCTGGATGCTGACACCTTTAGTGCATTGGTTAAGACTTTACAAAGGGATTGTCTGGTGAGATATTCTTCATCTAACCCCCTATTTGTGGTTCATCAGAACACCCATGGGTTTCAAGCATATTAATAGCTAGATATGCACATATTTATTTACACACTACTCCCTACCTTGATCTTTATCATTTGCACTACAAAGCTACTGTAGATAGACAGATGAAATGTTATGATTTTGAAATCGTCAAGAGAGTTGCATGTATTGCATTGTACATTGTGCAGTACTTGCAAGAGTTCTAGTTTGTATACAATGTGAACCTATGTTGTGTTTAGTATAGTATATTGTGTGGAGATGATTTCACATGAAATAGAGGGATTTTCAGGCACCTTGTTGTACACTCCAAATTGGGGGAGAAAAGGGTTTCTGAGCCAAAATAATAGGTAATTGTACTGCGAACCATTCCCTGTTCAAAATAAAAGCTGCAGTGGCAAAGCTGGGAAGATCCCCAAAGATATAGAGCTTATAACGTATTCATTTTTCTACTGTGTATATAACAGTTTTGTTTTACTTAGGGATGCACAGATACTAGTTCAGATACTAGTGCCGATACTTGGCATTTTCACGAGAACTGCCAAGGTTGCAGGGGTTGCAGTTGCGACTGGGCCTTGACGCTCCACCACAGTCCTGAAATCATTAGTCTGTATTGTTTTGAGAAAAACTGTCACATGACAATAAAATAAAAGGTATCAGTGATTGCTATTTGGGAGGAAAAAATTGTTAACTTTTGAGTTTTCCTCTGGTCTAGTCTTGGAGCTGGAAAAGTATCAGTACTTGTACCAAGTACGGTACTTGGTATTTGTGCATCCTTAGTCTTACTTATAAACATTTAGAGGATTATTCACAAAGCTGCCCAAGGCAGCCGAGTGAATAACCGGCCCGGCTATTCACTTCAGGCTTGTACGGATGATTTCAGCCGTACATTGGCTGAAATCAGCCGTACATCGGCTTGCTTTGACTGGCTTCGGTTCAACCGAACATGCTCAGCATGTTCGGCTGAGCCAAAGTGCAGAAGGAGTTCGACTCAGCCGATCCAACATCTGGATCAGCTGAGCCGAAGCTCTGGCAGCTCGCTCGCTGCCGTTCGCCCCTATTCATATAGGGGCCGAACGGCAGTGAGTGAATACCCGAATGACGCAGAGCTGCATTCGGCTTGGCTATTTTGCTTGGTACCTCCGTGGTACCAAGCAGAATAGAAAATCAGTGAAAAAAGTAGAAAAAAAGGTTAAAAAATAAAGATTTCTTTAAAAAAATACAAATTAAAAAATTGGGCGGAGCTAGCAGTGACAGCTAGCTCATCCCAACTGTTTCCTATTGGCCTGGGACCTGCTAGAGTCTTCTAGCAGGTCCCGGCCAATGAATAACAACTGGGCGGAGCCTGGGGATGCTGATCTGTCATTGCAACTGGGCGGAGCCAGCCGGGAAATCACGGCTGGCTCTGCCCAGCTGTCAGTTGCGAGGCTTTCGGCTGGCCAATGGCTGGCCGTTCGCCTCGATTTAAGTGTCACTTCGGCTCAATCGAGTCGGAGCATATGCCTTCGGCTCGGCCAGCTTCGGGAGCTGTACGGGTTATAGTGAATAGCCTGTACAGCAGCCCTTCGGTTCTGAACCGAAGGGCTCCGGCAGCCGAAGCTAGCCGAAGGATCAGCCGTAGCTACGGCTGATCCTTCAACTAGCTTTGTGAATAACCCTCTTAATATTTACATTACTAGTAATAAAGACCCTGTATCCAGTTAGAGCCCAACTGCAAGCAGGTGGACAAAACCCCCACACTGCAAAGTTTAAATGCTCACTTTGTATTGGGGAACAAAATAAACAGCTAAACTTGCCTTATTAATCATTACCCTGGCAGCCTGTTCTCTTCTGTGCTCTCTGACGCTCTGGGATGGGTATGGGCCCTCTCCATCATATACAGTGCAGGAATGCTAATCATTGCATGGAGCAAGTCTTGGGCGATAGGAATAAAGTAAATATACCTGCTTATTCTGTTACCCTTATACAAAACAAACATTAAATCCTTGAACTACAAGGTAGGCAAAGGTTATGTTCTTATCTGCTCATAGTTGGACCTAAAAAAATCCTATGTTTTAACTGCTTGAAAGCAGGTTTTTATTACAAGTAATTTATGTGGTCATTATTTAATGTATTTTCTCCAGTATATAAAAAAAAGTTATATAGTTAATAAAGTTGAAAAAGGACTGATGCCCATCAGGTACAGCATTGGTCTAGAGACAGAAAGACAGAATGAATACCCTATGAATCCTTTGCCAATTTTTGCATTCTCACGTTTAGTTTACAAATATGTACTGAGATTGTAGTTCATCACCCGATAGAGTTTGGAGCGGTGGCTACTTTACAACACACACAGGGACCATGGGGAACAGAAGTAGCCCCCCTCCAAAAGGAAGGACAGTGTCAACACGGATTCAGAGATGATTTGAGGATCTACACAATAGTTAATAGGGAACTTGAATGCATTTTTACGGTTTAACTCCTGAATTTAAGGTCATTATAAATAGTATAAGAAAATAAGATATATAGTTTTAGCAATTACTTTGCTTTATTTCTAATAGCTGTTTCGCAGACCTTGCCTGTTTTTTATTTTTATTCAGTTAAAGGCATAGGTTGTCTTTCTTTACCATATTATCTGGTATCGTACTGTGCACTCTTTTGAGATGAATTTGTTTTAATAGTTTAGGTTTTACTTAGTCCTCTACATTTAAATTCACCATTATCTATTAAAGATTCTAAATGATCAAAATGTATCTTCTCATTCAGTTATATACAGTATGTGTACAGTTTTTGGTATTTAATACCCTTAGCAGTATGTTTTTCACTCTTTGCTAACTTGATTTTGTCTTGCAGGTTTTCTTACATTGCTTATATTTAATTAAAGAGCACCTAGTATTAGATACATTTTGCAATGTTAAGTGCACGCATACTAAGTCATGTAAAAGTGTAATGTCTGTGAAGGTTCTCATTCATCCAGGTCATGGTATATCTGTAAAATCTGATAGTCACAACTAGGTGTTGATTGCATTTGCATTCGGCGCTATGCCTACCTCTAAAGGAAAAAGGTCACTCCTTTGAAGACAGCCAAGTACGCATCCTAGGCAGGGAGGAGGACTGGTTTAAAAGAGGTGTGAAAGAGGCCATTTATGTAAAAATGGAGAAGCCAAGCTTGAATAGAGGTGGGTGATGAGGTGAGACATCTATTGTCTGCCACATACAATGCTCTTTTAACACCTCTCTCTGGGCTGCTTAATAACACCTCCTAGCTCCAATTATGCAAATACATTCAACAACTGGTTGTGATTATGTGGATTGGAGCAACATTCACCATATTTATTCCCAGATAACTTTTTTGTACAAGTAATTCTGAATTGAGAAAGCTGGTTGGATGACCAGTGAAACATCTTCAAGAAAAATACAGCAAGTCCAGTTGCCTTGACTTATTTTTTTACAGGTAAAAGTGTAATATTACCCTTCACAGATATCACAGTACTTCTCCTGACATTGGGGTTGATTTAGTAAAGCATGTTCACATAGTAAAGTAATTTTTTACTCGGCTCAGTGAATTGTCAAGGTTGTGAAGTCAAATGCACAATCATGGTAAGGCAGTCTACGTTTTGTTAAAAAAAAAATGCACACATATTCATTTATTAATTTTTTGCGCTATAACCAGTACAACATTGCAACAGCGATCAGTGGATTGCAAGTCCAATGCTTTGGCTCCTGCAGACTCTTCCTCCAGTCCCTGTCTGAACCAAGGTATGGATTTTCAGTTACTAGGACAGAAGGAAGATTAAATGGTCTACAAATGTGGTGATGTCACCTAAGTTGTATTCCATTGAGAACTACAAGTCCCTCTTCCACACTGGTGGTGGTAGTTTCCCCATTTACAGATCCTGTCAAAGGATCTGTGAATGGATGACACCACTGTGCATGGCTCTGCCAGATTACAAAAAAAGTCAGGAGACTGTGGGAAGAAGAACCCCATGGTTCAGGTATGTGTAGTGTTCACTTTGCAGAGTAAATGTTTATTTGGCTTAGATAATGAACCTCTATGATTAAGCCCTCATTGGGCGAAACGTGTGAGCAAGGGGAGTATGCCAGGTAAAGTGATAAACAACCTTTTCCACATGGAATAAAGATGTTTTAAGTGAACCTGTAGTGTGGGCTTTGCTACACATTGTTTGGTCCATAGTGTTCATATCTCTTCAAACGACAAGAGATGAATTATCAAAATGATTTTTGGTTTTCTATTCCAGTAGCAAATTCCATTTTAATTACTGGTTTGCTTGCCCAGGTTTTAGAAAGCTTCAAGATTATGGATTACAGCCTTCTTCTAGGAGTGCACAACATAGAGCAGCATGAGAAAGCGCGGCAAGCGGATGGCTCTCAGAGTCAAATTGATGAAAAGCGCCCTGTTGGACAGAAGGCTCTGTATTCCACAGCAATGGAATCCATTCAAGGAGGTGCAGCCCATGGGGAATCCATAGATACAGATGACACGTGAGTAAAATAAGTGTTTATACAGATTCATTTAAAATACACCTAAACCCTAACTAAAGGACTGCGTACCATAAACAACTGACTTTTTTGCAGTAGACTGCTGTTTTTATCTTTTTTTTTTATATATAATTTTTTTGCTGCCTATAAGCAGCTTCTTTTCACCCACTTTCTCTAAATGTTAATGCACGCCACAACTGCTGCACACCATTTCTTTGGGCAGGTTCCCAGATGGAGATAAAAGTAGGCCATGTCCAGTGGACCATGTGGACCATGAGCAATGTACATCAATGTGGCTGCCTGGAAGCATGCATAACATTTTGAAAATGCAATACCACAATTGGTAGACGAGGACAGAATGTTATCATCTTATAACAGGTAGTACCTGTACAATTACCTTTTATGACAGGATCACCAGGCATTATTCTGATAAAAGCTGCAGATTTTAAAATGACATGATTGGTAACCATCCCTACACATATTTGGGGCTCAGGAGCTCTTGCTACTACCTGCAGGACTCTTGCTGTAGACTTTCCAAGCAAATTTGCTACAAATTCAAAAAGTGTCAACTAGAACTTGTGCTGCAAGTGTTCTGCAAGTCTACAACATGCCAGGAATATGTGCAGCAAGTTAACAAAAATTACAATTTCACCCTGCCACAAGTTTGTAGCAAGTTACACTTGCTATCTGGGCATGTCAAAACAGCAAAGGACAACAGGATAGACATGTGCACTGGCAAAAAATTAGTTTCGTTTCATTTTCATTCGGATTTTGAAATTTCTTTTTTCGGAATTCGGGTCCGAAAGTCAAATTTCGTTTTGTTTTCGTTTCGTTGCAGCAAAGTGACATTTGAGGAAAAAATTTTTTTTTTGTTGCCTCGAATGTTACATAGTATTTGAGGTTGAATAAAGACATAAGTCCATCAAGTCCAACCTATTGTGTGTGTGTGTGTGTGTGTATAGGTCCCTGAGTCATCTCATTCTTAAGAGTACCTGTACCCTTGTACATTATGGTCTCTCAGGAAATCGTCCAAAAGCTTCTTGAATGATTCCAGACTATTTGCGGAAATCACTGCTTGAGACAGCGAGTTCCAGACCCTAACCGCGCGAACTGAGAAGAAGCCCCTTCGCCCCTTGGGTTTGAATTTTTTTTCTACCAGTTTTAGGTAGTGGCCTCTAGTCTTTGTTACAGAATTAATCTTAAAGAGTTTGTTGCTAATGTTGCTATGACTATGGAACATTTTGTACATGAAAATCATGTCCCCCCTTAATCTCCTTACTTCCAACGTAAACATATTTAAATTTAGTAGACTTGTCTCATAGTTCTGGTCCTCCATCACCTTAAGGAGTTTGGTTGCCCTCCACTGGACTTTCTCCAGCTCAAGGATATCCTTTCTGTGTACCGGTGCCCAAAACTGCACCGCATACTCCAGGTGAGGCCAAACCAGTGATGTGTAAAGTGGCAAAATTATAGACTTGTCCCTGCAAAACATTCCCTTCTTGATGCAGGACAGGCTTAGAGCAACCTGGCACTGTAATCTATTATTCAGTTTATGGTCTACAATGACCCCCAAATCTTTCTCCAGATTGGGGTTTTTTTTTTTACTATCTGTGGCAATATGCTTTTCACACTCTATTTTAGCTGCCCGTATTACTAGTTTACATCTTTTATTACATACTTTGTAGTTATGGAACGCCAATGCCGTCGCCTCCATCCTATATTTTGTGTCAATGCCACTCGCTTTTCCTTTATGTGATGCTTTAAATTTTTATTCAGCCATACAGGTTTTGTTTGTGATCTTCTACTTTTATTAACCAAAGGTATACATTTGGCAATGGCAATATGTAATGTGTTATTAAAACATTCCCACTTTTGGTCCGAGTTCAGTTTGTGAAATACATTTTTCCATTTGATGTCCCCCACTAGGGGGCGCAGTTTATCAAAGTTAGCCCTTCTGAAATTAAGGGTTCTTGTCCTACCAGCCCGCTTCCCTTTCCTGTATCCAATATTGAAAGTAATCACATTGTGATCACTATTGCCCAGTGTCTCCCCAATAACAATATCTTCAATTAACTCTGCATTATTAGTAATGATTAAATCTAGGATGGCATTTTTTTTAGTTGGGACCTCCACCATCTTGTCCATGAAATTGTCTCACAACAAACGAAATTTCGTACAGACTACCGCTAACGAATTTCGGAATTGGAAATTCTGATTCGTTTGCATTCGTTATATCTGTAATTCGGAATTCGGATACATCCGAATCTCTGAATTTCCGAAATTTCGATTAGAAACTAAACGAATTGCACATGTCTACAACAGGATCTACCTGCACTCCCTTGAAGCGTGGCCAGTTGTTTCCCCAGCCATGGACATTGATTGATCATATCATAGCTATCACTATCCAAACTAGCATCAAGGAGTTTACTATTGGAGTTTGTCCATTCTAATATATGATCATCTCCACCACAAACCGCTTGGGACCGATCCTTCATCTGAATGAGATAGGAACACCATTGATCAACGCATGTTCGTTTGATTATCTGCACAATCAGACATTGTATTAACCTTCCAGAGAATGTTATTTTTGTAGCAAGTTGACGGAATACAAATATCATACATACATACAGATTTATTAGCCTCTGATGTGGTTGTTTGTGCATGAATTGAGACATACTATCTCATGGATATTTAGTATCACTTTTCCATCTATAATTGGTTGATATGCACAGATTCAGAGACATTGGGGCTGATTTACGAAGCCCAACACGCACACGCGCAGGCTGCGTGCGCGTTTTAACCCGCAACAATGCATTTACCAAGCGAACACGCACATCATGGCGCGGTTTCACGCAGGCATGACGCGTTTTTATGTATTTACTTACGCGCGTGTCGTGTATTGCTGATCGTTATGTCTCTAGATGGGCGGAGCCAGTCGTGTTACCTCCATTGATTGTGGACATTGATTTATGTAACCACAGTTTTTTTTGCAATACATATTTGCACTTACGTTTTATTATTGTTTTATATATGGTTCTTATGTTTATATTTATGACCGCTTACATGTCCTCAACACGTTTTCTGGACCTGAACAATGAAATGGTTTAGAGCAGACGTGTCAGACTCTGATGAAACAGTGGGCCAAATTGAGAGGACTAAATCTTCAAGTGGCCACATTATGTTTACTGAGGGCTGCACATAGTTAATTCCAAGAACAGATTATGGCACTTCGGAACTTAAAATTATAGTAAAACCGTAACTTACAATATTTAATTCCAGAAAACAAAAAATTGCAAGTAAGTGTAACTCATCTATGGGTGAACAGCTGGAGATGCATTTCTTTTTTGTTTTCCTTAACCCTTTCGCTGTCACAGATGTATGGCATACCTTGGCAACAGCGGGCCTCTGTCAACGGTTTAAACAGTGTAACAGTGTAAACTCTTTACCTGTGTAAAGCCGACTGTTGGCTTTAAACCGGAAGCAATTTAGGCAGTTGTAAAGCTACCTGATTCCTTCCAGGGGCTGGTAAATTCTACCCCCAGCTTGTTTCCTAGGCTCTGCGGGCCCTGGACTGGCATCAGAGGTGTCGGTGGGTAGAGGGGAGAAAGACCAGTGAACAACCATTCACTGATCTCCCCCCCCTCCCGTTGAATAAAACTGGAAGTGACTTTCATTACTTCCGGTTTCTAAGGTGTTGTTTGTGGATAGAGAGGCCCGGGAAGAAGCTGATAAAGCATGATGTGCCAACTCTAAACTGATGGCCTGTACAGGGTTTTAAAGCGTCTCCTGTAAACAATTTGGGGTACCATATTTCTTTGCTGTTTCACGGGAGCACGTAGTTTTGAAGTTCATCATTTTGGGTATCTATTTACTCGGCACAACCTTATCTTTAATACAGAAAATATGGCTATTATATTGTGTATTTGTGCACTAAAATTAACTTAAAGGAGAACTATGTGGTGAGTGATTTCCACTCATCTTCATAGTTAGAGCCGACCTGTGACAAAGAAGTTATCACAGGTCGACTGTATCGATCGGGAAGTGAGCAGAACCATGCACCAATCTGCTCATTTCACAATAGTTTCCCCGCAGTGAACGGTGACTGTCAGTCACCGCTTCAGCAGGAAATCCCCCCTCCCCTCTCCGATCCTCCAGCGCTGGGTGGAGGAACGAACGAGGGAGGGGGTGGGCACAGCTGGCTCTGCCTCTAGATAGGTAGAGCCAGCTGTCACTCACGCAGCTGGGTGGATCTCGACAATATTGTCAGGATCCGTCCCGGCTGTGGCACTCTCAGTATATTGCGGGCGATATACTGAGTTTTGGGTCACGGCAGAAGGTTAGTATATGTGCTCCCGTCACCCTAAAGAAAACTATGGGCAAAAAACACTTACCCCATAGTTCTCTTTTAAGTGTAATTTTTACTGAAATTTTGGGTTTGATAAAAAGTTGTGCTAATATCATGTGACATAAAAATTTGCATCTGCCACCATTTTATTCATATTCAGGAAATCTATAATTCGGGGGGGGGGGGGACTAAGTATTTTTCATGTCTGAAATGTAAAATATAACGTTTCCAAAAAACGCAAAAACGGCTCTGCCAGTAAAAGACTTAAATCGAGATACCCTGTTAACACCACAATGAAAGAAAACTACAGATTTAGTCTGACTAACCACTGTTTATAATAACCAGTAGCCAGCTTTATATAAGATTTTGAATAAGCACAAGCCCATCCTTCAAATGGGTGAAAGAGTCATGAGACATATTACCCAGAAACCTTCCATTACAGCAAAAAAAAGCACCTCCTTTATAAAACCTACTATGAACCATTTCCGTGGAGGGACTAGACTTTAAAGCATCCATCCATATGGTGCTTGCTCTATACAGTATGCAAGTATGTGTAGTCAACATACACAATCCAGAATGGCAGCAGGAAATGTAAGATCTGCAATTATATTATGTGATGGAATTACCTGCCATTGTGTGAAGAAAACTGAAAACAAAAAATATCTTATTAATTTGGCATCCAGAAATAAGCACTAACTACAGCAGCAAATTATTTCCTATAAATACCTGTAATAAATAATAGTGGAGGTGACATTTCTGGAATTGCAAAAAGAATCCCTATGGATTTACAAGTTCAATGTTGTGGCACCTGAAGGACATTTTATTTACCAAATATCTTGGGAAACTTGGTGATAATGGTTTCACAATTGGTTATGCATTTGGACATTGGGTATAATGCGTTGAGCACAAACATTGTCATAATTTGTGAAGCAGGTATATACATCTATTGGTTTCTTAATTACACACTTTTTGGGTCAGGTATACTCATTTGGCCTTCTCATGGAAAGGTGCCTTATGGAGGCGAGAAGCATTGCATGCATCAGGGAAGCTAAAAGCTATGCTGCCTGGAGTTTAAAATTCTGTTAGAGTCAACAATGGCAGACAGCTTTGACAAGAGAGCCAGACTAAAACGTACCACTTATATTGGGCAGCAGCTATGTGAACAGTGGTTATCATGGATGTGAAAAAGACAGATAAATTAACCCAAACTGAGCAGAAAAAGGCAATGATAAGCTACTTCTGTACCTTACCAAGAAACCAAGTACTGTAGATAGGTAAAGTAGGATAAATGGGGAAGATGGGCCCCTCAGGTCAGAAGGCACTCAACATACTACTAAGTAAGATCTATTTTTTCTTTTCAAAGTACAGCTGGTATGAATGACGTAACTAGACTGAAACCTTTGGTTATGTAGTAACATAATTTTGCCGTGCAAGAAAAGGAAATCCAATGCTGAAAAAACAGACTCATGATAGGAACTTAGGACGTACAAGGCATAAATCAAGGTAAACTGGACTACTGACGATGGCAATGAATATTTTAAACATCAGTGTCTTAAGAATCAGTCAAATGGAGTGGCTTAGGACACTTTCAGTCAGAAGACCTTACAATCTACTGTTCTGGTCAAGAAGACCAAAGAATAGTGTGGCTTTAATGGTCAGCAAAGACATTAACAAGACTGCCATACTGCTATAGAATTGTGACCTGTAGGACAAGGACCAATATTGCAAACATTTTTGTAAATAGATTGAAGATGCAAACAAATGTGGAAATACAAGGATCACCTTCCTAAAGATCCATGAGATCAGAAAAAAAATTCAGCCTTTGAATATGTGTAGCTAAGGATGTCAAGGCAGAAATCATCATTGATGGAACCGAGATTATGCAAAGATGGAAATAAATACACAGACGACTTTTTTCAGCAAAGATGCCAATACCAAGACTCTTTTTTTTCAAAACCAGCTACACACAATAGACTTTAATACTAAAAGATGATTCAGACAAGCATTGAGATGACTGTCTCAAAGAAAGGCCACAGCAGTTGATGAAACTGCATCAGAATTAGTTACACAAAAGCAACTGAAGAAGAATCAAAGTGCTGATGAATGTTCGGCAACAAGTTTAAAAAAAAAAAATGTGTTCACTTTCTCACAAATTATGAATTTTGGTGGCTGAAGAGAAGGGAAGGCACCGAAGAGAAGGGAAGACAGCCGAACTGATTCTTCTCCTTGGCCGCTGCAGCTACAGAGCGGCCGAAGAGGAGAAGAGAGAGCTGAAGGGAGCTACGGAAGCGGCGGTAGTTAACTGCCCATGGTCCTGCATGTGGCATCCCCCATGACATTCCACTCGCCCCCACGCAATTTTCACTTGCCAATTGCGAGGGGGTGAGTAGAAATTTTGAGGCCTGTCTTACAGCATAACTTTGCTTTCCATTCCTAGAAATAATTTAACTCTATATATCGTACATTAAAATGACATATCTCTCCCTCCACTTGCTGCCCTCCCCCAATGAGACAAAGAAGAAAAAAAAGAGAAAGGGAAAAAGAAAAGCCCAGGAACCACGGGTATATTTATAACATTTTTCCAAACCTCTACTGAGCTATTATATTCCCTCCAGGGTCTCCACTTCTCTACAAACCTCATATATCTATCATATAAGCGTGCAGTAAGTTCCTCCATACGCATGGTATTGTTCAGTTCCACTACCCACTCCCACACCTGGGGTAAACTTGATATCCTCCAATACCTAGGAATTATTGCCCTTGCAGCTACCAATATATGGCACAACAGTCCTTTTTTAATTCTGTTACTGGGCTCTGATGCATTGACAGTAACGCAACCTCAGGAGTCTCTGGCATACTCAACACGTCAGTTATCGCCCTATCTCAAAAATTGATCTTCAATATATTCTTAGCTGTTGACATGACTACCATATGTATATCATTGTTCCCTCTTCCCTGCCACATCTCCAGCACACATGTGTACTATTGTTGGGCATCTGTACCATCTTGTTAATCATTTAAAATTTCTCTCCTGTGTTTTAACCGCCATACTTGATTTAACCCCTTCATGACTGAGCTTGTTTTTAGTTTCTGTTCATAAATGACTGACACACTTGAAATGTTTGCTGTGTGATTCTTCCACGTCAGTAATATACTTTCTTACAAAGTGCACCTTATATATTGTTTTTTAGAGGACAGATAGGGCTACATATATATGCATCCAAGGGTCTTGGATGCATATATATGTAGTTGGCAATGTAATTTCTAATAAGGAAGCTTTATATTTTCAATTTTACATTATTTTAATAACATGTTTTAATAATAAAACTATGTTTTGATACACTTATATGGTTTTGGTTTTGTAGGCACCTAAAAAACCCCACACACCCACTTGTTTCTTAATCTTGATTTCGTGGGTGTGGTGCCGAGCACTCAAGGGTTTCTCACACAGAGCGTTTCTCCTTTATTACATAGAATATTAGCATAGACCATCATTGTTACTGATGACCACACATAGATTATCCATAGTTCGGATTATCCCTCTGCTTTTCTTTCATGTAACAATACAGTAGAGCCTGATTGGTTTACACTTGGCCAATAATATACTAGCTTTATATCAAAAATCATGTATTAATTGAGTCAAGTGTCAATGGTGTGTGTGTGGGTTTTTTTTAAACATATAGTCCAGGGTTGAGCTTCATTGTCCTTGTAGAAATGTTCTCTTTATAATGGCTATAAAATTATGTTTTCGGTATTAAGTGAAAGTATTTATAAATAAAATAGTTTTCTTTAATTTTGCAATTTTTTTATTGAAATTGTAATGGTTCCTTTAAGTTACATTTTTTAAATCTTTTTTTTGATCTTTATTATAATAAAACAGAGTACATGCAAGTACAAAGCCAACTGCTGTATTTCTCAGCAAGAGCTAGCTGTCATTTTGACAGAGAGGCATTGCTGGTAAAAGCTGCAGGGGAGCACACACTACGTACACCTTGTGCACTTTGATGAGGTTTTTGTTGGGCATACGTAGGATACCTAATGTCTGCACCTCGCTGATATAATGTTCCCAGGGGTGGCCCAGTCATAAGGGTAAGTGCGAGTTCGAGGAGCTGGAAACCTTTTCTTTAAATCCTCGAGAGATTTAGCAAACCCAAAATATGTACTTCTGTTCCTTTTCAAACCTTAAAAAGAAAAAATCCACTTATCTGCTTAATCAGAGATACCTGCTTACAGTGGCGTAACAATAGCCTTAGCGACCCAGGTGGCCGATATGGGGCCCGGGCCCAGGGGGGTACGGCCAGGGTTGCAGGGTCACCCTCAGGTGAGCAATGTGGGCTCTTCAAGGGGTGTAACTAGAAATCACAGGGCCCCATACAAAATTTTGCTATGGGGCCCTGTGATTTCTAGTTACGCCCCTGCCTGCTTATCTTGTCTTTTTGTTTTAACCAAAACTGCAACTACTTTTTTGTCATTTTAGTTTTCTGGTGAGCTGATCCTATTCATTTAAGTTAGTAAAGACATCAATGTATGGTTTACTATGTACTGTAGTAACATATTTTGTCTGCCTATAGTAAATGTTTCCTTTGGTTTATAATAATTGCACTTTATTATGATTTTGCGCCTGTTTTTTGATACAGAATATTTCTTGTTGTTTTCACAACTACTGCATCCGTTATAGAATGGGAGGTATTCCAGCTGTCAATGGAAGAGGGGAACGTCTGTTACTGTACATAGGAATTATTGACATATTGCAGTCATACAGGTACATAACCACCTTCATTTACCATTTGCCTTTTGTGTTTTACTTGTTTCCATTCCTTATTAGATCCTGAGATAGTATTTTGGTAATGCGGTTTTTATGATAACATGTATTTAGGTTATTTTGTTTTAACCATCTTTTAAAATTAATACAGTATAATGATATTGAAGAAGGAACCTTTGTGATTGTAATGCACTGCTTTCCTTTTTCGGTCTTAGATTTATCAAGAAGCTGGAACACACATGGAAAGCTCTTGTTCATGATGGGGTGAGTTACCCAAGATTGCCAAGACTAAAAAAGACAGCAGCCTGCAGTCCGGAAAATGTTTAAAAAATAAATTAACTTTCATTTGATCAATTATGCCTAAGTTTTTTTGTTTTTGTTTCAGGACACTGTTTCTGTACACAGACCAGGCTTCTATGCTGACCGTTTCTTCAAGTTCATGACTAACATCGTGTTCCGAAAGACATCATGTGAGTTTTACATACTAGCCCATTACAGAATTTTGGCAATATATTCATTTTGAACTGAAAATTGCAGCTTTTATTGTACTTCACTGTTCCTTGACATACTGGGAGTGGATTTACTAAGGGATTAGAGCCTCCACAGCTTAAAGCTGAACTTCAGGCAAACCAATAAATACACAGATTTAATACATATAACAGAGCTGTTTTACCTGCCAAAGATTTGTATTTTCATTCATCCATTCCTTATATTTACACAGCCCTGTCACACTGCGCAGTTCTTTCTGGTAGTGCAGGGAACACATTTTTCTCTGCTGCAGTTAAGTAACACTTACAGTTCTTGTCTTTCCCCAACTCTTTCCCCAACTCTTTCCCCAACCCATTTTAACTCCAAATCAGTTAAAAGCTGCTATACCAAAACACAAAGGTTTCAAATTCGAGGATCAAGTTGTACAGCGCTAAAAACTTCACAGTAGGAGTTGCATAGATGTTCAATGTGTGAATAAATAATAAATGTCAGAAAAGATCATTTCAAATCAATACCCTATACGTAGTGAACAAATATAGTGAAAATGTCTAACTATATATCAGTGAATTAATATACAGGACTGATCTAATTATATCAAAAACGAACATTCAAACAATTAACAGTCCATGTTCCAAACAGTGAGAAATCCAAAAAAGTTTTTTAAAAGTGAAAAAAGCAAAGTTCATTCCTCATCCCATAAAGTGAGAAAAACATATAAATCATGTGTTTCAATAATCCGGTGCTTCACTCCGTGATCCCCTCCTGTTATAGATTAATTCCCCAATGGGTATACACTCACCCCACACTGTTGTATTCCAACAGCCAAATCATGCTTCAGTGTCATAGAACTCAGCGTCCTCCTTCCTCGAGATCCACTCGTTCATGTACGCTTATCATGGGTAACCCCATTTGTATAGAATAAAATGAAATTCCTCATTGTGCAGTATGTCAAAATCGTTTTATTCAAAAATAACATAAAAAAACTCACATGTGAAGTAAAAAACACCCGGCCGGTAGATAAATTGCAAATCGTCCAAATCCTATGCTCAGTGTAGCGTCAGAAAGACCCGCCTTGACGCGTTTCATCATCAAGACGTTATCAAAGGACAGCAGGTCTGACTCGCTACAACATACTGGCAACTTTATAGCAATGCAGAGCTCAATTGCATGCATGGAAAATTGCCATCAGATCGTTTAATGGGAGATAATTAACCCATAGTGAGGCACATATACAAATTAATATATTAAAATACATTTACAATAAATTTAAATATTAAAACATATATAAAATGAGCACAAATAAATAACATATATAGCCAGGGCTTGAAAATTAAAGCATAAAAAAATGTAAAAAGAAAACAATTTTTTTTAAGTCCCCACCCACCACATACACACTCAGATATGAGTCGGGTGCGCCTACGTGCGAAAACGCCGATTGCGCCTATTGTGCCGCACATGTTACATATCGCCGCAAACGTAGGAGTGAGAGCAATCATTTTAGGGCCATCAATCACCGAAAACTTATGAGCAGTAAAAGCGTTTTAAGTGTTGCCTAAGCAATTTTAAGGCTTGACATGTTTGGTGTCTATTTACCCGACGTGGCCCCGACTTTTATGTTTTACCAAAAATATGGGTAATAATAAATGTTTTATAACATAGTGTATGGAAACTTTTTTTTTCTTTTACTTTTTTCATTATATAGTAAAAAAAAAAAAACCCCCCGAGGTGATTATATACCTCCAAAAGAAAGCTCTATCTGTCCCCAAAAAATGTTAACGTAAATTGCAAGGCCGATAGTCCGGTCATGCTGACTGGTGAAATTTTTGACTGACTGGTGAGACACCCTAAAATTTTTCAAGCCCTGTATATAGCGCAATGGGACAAAAACACTAAAAACTAAAACCCCCATAATGTCCATTCTACATAATTTACTACATAAAAAACAGTTTAGGTCAAAATCAATATTAAGCCCCTTAGGAAACAAGGTGTCTAATACATAAATCCATTTGGATTCATTTTGCGATACCTTACGGGTAAGGTTGCTACCTCTCCAATCATTCTATATTTTATCATTTCCCACTATCTTTAAACCTTTGGGGTCACAATTGTGGAAAATTCTAAAATGCCTAGATAGACTGTGCTTATTAAAACCCTTTTTAATATTATTCACATGCTCCTCCAATCTTTTCCTGAGTTCTCTAGTTGTCCTTCCCCCATACTGTAAGCCACATGGGCATTCTAATAAGTAGGTTACGAAATTACTATGGCAAGAAATTAAGTTCTTTATTTTATACTCTTTATTGGTTTCATTAGATTTAAACGAAGTGATTTTCTTCTTTGCTCCTGTAGCTCTACAATTTACACAGTATTTGCATGGAAAACATTTTCACTATATTTGTTCACTACGTATAGAATATTGATTTAAATGATCTTTTCTGACATTTATTATTTATTCACACATTGAACATCTATGTAACTCCTACTGTGAGGTTTTTAGCTCTGTACAACTTGATCCTACTATACTGGACATTGAAAGGAGAAGAGGCAGACTGATTAGGTCTCCTCTTTGTCACTCTGTTCTCTGCTCCCATCAGCTCATCAGTATTCCTTGAAGCACAAATAAATGGTTTATTCTGCTTTTTCCCTCTCCCTGTTTTCTGCTGTATAGGAGAGTGGCTGATGTTAAGTTAGCTTTAGTTTTTTACACTGCTTGCATTTTAAGAAATACATTTAATTATATATTCATGAATAGTGAGCTGTATTAATTTTTGTCTTTTATATGTGCTTGGAATACAGCTTTAACCTTATATACTAACATTCACTTCGCAACGTGAACAGACTCTACTCTTTAAGTAAATCAAACCCCTATATTTTAGTAAAGTACTAGCGGGTATGCTAATAGATACTACCTTGTTCCATAGGAAAATACATTGCTATCATGCTGGGGGTTAAAAAGACCCTCAGTGTCACCTTTACAATGAAATAAATGATGCAATATGTGTCGCTCCCCGGTCCCATAGTACAGGGAGGGGATCGGTGAACGGATGTTCGCCACTCTCCTCCCCAGCTCTCTGCTGACCTGGTTTCTGGATCGTAGAAGCGATCTAGCGGCAGCTGAGCCGCCAGAATCGCTTCTACTGTAAGGCCGGTCGCCGGCTCTACAAAATGGAACAGACTCCCAGCGGCTAAAAGCCACTGGGAGTCTGTGTAACCAGTTCAGACTTCATGACAGGATTATCCCATCATAGGTTGTGAAGAGGTTAAGCAGTTGCAGCAACAGTTTTTCTTATTTCCTTTTGGGATAAAGGTTTTACATATATAAAAAAAAGCTGACCATTGTAAGCATCCCTGTCAGCGTTAAATGGTTTGTCTCAACCCTCTATCTGCCACTTTTTTTCTGGACAGCTTGGTTTGTTAAAGGAAGTAAAAAAATAACGAACTTACTGGCCCCCAGGTGAAAATAAAGGAAAAGCCTAACAAAGGAAAAAACGAATGCAGCCACCACATTTAACGATTGGTAAGCTGTAATATATTACATGGTTCCTTTTAGGTTCAGATACATTTTAACTCGTGTAAGGCCATGTGTAAGTGCAAATGGTGGCAGCAAACACTATGACACCCTAGGCTGGGGGCCATGTCTCTTTAACTGTACAAATTTCTCCATATATAGATTCAGTGGCAAAATTCACATTGTGCGTTTTCTTTCCATTTAGCTCTGAAATCATCACCATCTAAAAAAGGAAGAAGTGCCCTTCTGGCTCCTCATTCTATAGGTCCCTCTTCAGCATGCTCTGCCGGACAGATCTTAGTTGAACATGAAGAAGGGCAATATGAACTTCATGGGGCAAGTAGCTGCCCGACTTTGGATGATAATGGTAATTTATATAATAATGTATCATGGCTTGGACATAAGAGTCTTAATTTAGAATGCTAATATACCAGGATAAGTATCCTTATTTTTAAAAAAGTGACCATTATTTTCATTTCAAATTTGAAAATTACTGCCACGTGGATAAACATAGACAGTCTTAGGTTGGTGCTGGAGCTTTGGGAAATGAGTCTTAGATCTGGAGTTAGTATGATATGCTTTTTTCACCAACTCAGTAGACTGACAGCTTTTGAAACATACTGTGCCACCCAATGATGAAATATTAGAAATTATACCTAACATTGTGTTCCAGTCAGTGATGTGAGTGGGAAACATTAAGCAGGATTACAGCTAGTCATAGTTAAATTTGAACTTTTTGTGCATACTCACATTGGTCCAGCTGGGCCCAATGTACGTGAACAGCCCATGTGAATCTTGTGAAGCACTCTAGTAGCCAGAGTTACTACAGTGCTTTACAGTGATCTTCCAGCTCCTGTACTGGTGCTGAGCTGAGCAGATTACCCTCTTATCTGAAAACACAAGGGGTCGCTTGGTGTTCTTTGATCGGACAAGGGGAGATAATGATGTCACTGCCCTTCATCCAATAAGAGAATGCCTTGCATTCATTGATAAAAATACTAGGAGTTCTCTGAATGGCTGCTGTGCTGCGTGAATTACCCTCTGAGTTTTTAGAGCAGAGTGGAAACTACTCAGCTCAGCATCATTACAGGACCTGGGAGATCACTGTGAAGCACTGTAGTAGCTCTGGTTACTATAGTGCGTTACAGGATCCCCATGGGCTGCTCAGGTATGAAATATGCATACTGAGAAGAACCAAAAAAAATGTATTTACAAAATAATATGCATAGTAATGAAAACATATTTACAGTGAGCAAATATATTTTATAGTTATTTTGCAGTGTTTACTTGCAGTGGAACTCCAGGAATTATATTGTATGAAACCTTACATTGGTATAGCTTGGCTCATTGTAAGTATCCATATCTGATATCCCGAGGGCCTCTGGAGATGCAAAAAATGTGGGCTTGTACTACATACAGTGATAGCTGTGATCTTCCGGATGCGGCACAGAGAATTGCTTGCTCGGCACTGCTGCCATTGAGAGAGCATCTTGAATTTTTTCAATGAAAATTATTATTATTAATTATTATTCAGGATTTGATTAGCGCCAACCGTTTGTAATGTCTTCCTTATATTGTAAAGCGCTGGACAATCACAATACAATTCAAGAAAAGTTGGTAAGGAGGGCCCTGCCCTTGAGGGCTTACAATCTAAAAAGGAGGGGCAAGTGATACATGAGGAGGTAGCTGTGTGGGGATGAATTGTTTGAGAATGTGATGGTTGAGTGGTTTGAGGTGGGATACAAGGCATTCTCCGATTGGACAATTGAAGATTGTGACGTCATCTACCCCTCTTCTCTACCTTGTCCAAACATAAGTGAAGCATGGTTTCCTGACTCATGAACTTGCATTGTGTGAGGGAGCAATAAAGTATAACTATTGTATAACACTGCATAGCAGGAAGCGAATGGTGTATGTAATGAGCAAATAGTTGCTGTCATATACAGTACATCTATAATTACAAACTTTCTAAGGAAACAATACAGTTTTTAAAAAGAAATTACATCCACTGATACAATTATTTTGATCGAGTTGATCTCTTTTACATGGTTTTCTTATCAACTAAAATAATTTTCTTTTTCTGTGATGTCACTATGAGCCGTGCTTGCCCTTTGTGGTAGGGGAGGAGCATTATCAGTTTGCAGTCTTGGCCTTCAGCCTAGCCATGGCTCAGATCTTTACCAAGTTGTTGGCACTGGTGTTAGCTCCCATGAGGTCTAGGGGGAAACCAACTGTGGGGTACCTGAACGGCTTTCTGTTGGGCATGGAGTTTTACTCGGAACTAGGGTCCAAACTGTCCCTCACCATTCAGTTTCTGGACTGATTCAGGTGGATATTAAATCTTGAGTCCTCGCTGATTCCACCTCATTGCCTGGAATACCTGGGCCTGGTTTTGGATGCCAACCAAACCAAGTGTTCAAATGATGTGCTACTCAACATCGTGAGGGGAGGAGATTAGCCACTAGGGTAGGCTGCCGCCCTGGGCTGTGTTTTTTTTATATTTTAGTGAGTTCACTGCCTGTTTTTGTCTAGGTTAAAAAAAAACCAAAGCCAAATATTTCAAATTCTGCTGCAGCTAAAAGTTATACCTCATGGAAGGTATGTAAACATGGCTAAGTGACTCAACTATGCACAAAAACATAGGAACTGGAGTGCAGAAAAATGGCAGCAGGTGCTCTGGATTGATGAGTCAAAATTTGAAATATTTGGCTGTAGCAGGAGGCACTTTGTTAGCCGAAGGGCTGGAGAGCGGTACCATAATGAGTATCTGCAGCAACAGTGAAGCATGGTGAAGGTTTTTTGCAAGTCTGGGGCGACATTTCTGCCAATGGAGTTGGAGATTTGGTCAGAATCAATGGTGTCCTCAATGCTGAGAAATACAAGTAGATACTTATCCATCGTGCCATACCCTCAGGGAGGCATGTGATTGGCCCCAAATGTATTCTGCAGCAGGACAATGACCCCAAACATACAGCCAATGTCATTAAGAACTACCTTCAGTGTAAAGAAGAACAAGTAGGGGGCGTGGCCGGAACATGGTGGTGCAAGGCAGCACATTTCAGGAGCTCTGTGCGGATCGGGGTGGGAAGGCTGTCTAGCGGACTTTAACACCCGGACTCTACTTCATGCCAAAAGAAAAGACCCTCCCGAGCCCTTTGTGAGGCCTCCGACACCCAGACTTGCCAACCTTGTTCTCCCGCTCGACCACTGTGAGAGCCATGCGGCCTGAGATGATGGCGACGACGCGATCGGTTAAACACCTCTTGACCCTGGATGGACGGGTGTGTGGTGTGGAGACTATGACGTCCGCCTTGCTGGAATGGGTGGCAACCTTGGAATCGACGCAGGCACAGGCTGGGCGACGTATGGCCTCTATGTGTCTGCAGATGGATGACCAGGAGAACAGTAACTGAGCATTAATCTTTCGCTAAAGCTCTTTCTCTAATCGCTTAAAGGGGATCCAGAGGCCACTACGGACTATGACTTGCGATCCACTGTGCAGGCTGTCCTTAATTACTACTTGGATAAGCCTCCTACCAATTCCATTGAGCTGGACAGGGCGCATAGAGCCCAGGGCTCCTAAGTCTCTTTGTCGGGTCCCCCACGGAATGATTTATGCCAAAGTATGTATTTCCTGTAACAATTTTCTTATAGCGGACTCCTTTTACTTCTTCAGCCGTGATCCATGTGTGATAAGTATACCCGTAAAACACATTTCAACGCTTTTCATTTGGTAGGCAACACCGTATCATTGATATGATCAGTCAAAAAATTCTTAATCCCCTTAGAGATATCTAACCTCACCTGAGGATCAGACAATAAGTTCTCATTTAGCCTCCATGATGAGCAGGGTTTGCTAGTAGCTGGAAACTGCATCGTAAAAAAAATTGGAAATTGATCCGACCATATCAGCATGGATTCCAGCTGAGCAAGCTATGAGAGGTCAGGAAAAATGATATCCTACTGTATGATTGATGTGTCGTTGAGTAACATGTATTGTCTCTCACAGCTGGATTCAATACCCTCCAGAGATCGATCAACTGATGACGATTTAATCTTTTCTTTAATCTATTCATTTGCATTAAAGATATATGATGATTGCCTCTAGGAGGTATCTAGTATTGGATTTAATGTTATATTGAAATCTTCCCCTATCATTGTTTCCCCTTCCATTAAATTTTCCAATCGATCCAATGTTTTTGTAAGCATTGCTGCTTGGCCCTGATTTGGTGCATATATATTGGCCAATCTAAACATTCTTGTGTTCAATCTACATTTTATAAAAATATATCTTCCTTCCTTCAGTCAACTCCTGGACTAAAGAAAAGGGTACAGATGCATGTATTCCTATTGCTACTCCTCTAGCTTTACTTTGGGGGCAATTACTAGCAAACCAAGAAGAATAATACTTAAAGATAGAGCCCCCCTTCTTTCAAAAATGTGTTTCCTGCAGAAACAGGACTTGAAATCCTTGTCTATGCAGATCATACAATATCTGTGTTCTCTTTTCAGGAACATTCAAACCTCTCATTTTGAGGAAATTAAACGTAATGCTTGACATCACCAAAACAATTTATTGAAGCAATATACCGCAATGCCAATAAAATCAATTCTGTGGGGGGTATTTGTCCCCCACTCCTTCCCCTATCGCCTGACTTGAGTCTTCCAGACTCATACCTATTGTGGGGAGTAATCTACCATCACCTCCGGCTGGTTCCCGTCTTTATGCCAATGCTGAAAGCCTCTGAACCCCTTGTGTTAAACCTTCTTGGAGAACAAAGAGGGGATTAATAGAGTGGGCTATCCCAGGCCTCAAAATTTCCACTCGCCCCCTCGCAATTGGCGAGTGAAAATTGCGGGGGGGGCGAGTAGAATGTCAGCGATGGGGTGCGCCACCGGCGGGACCAGGGATGGGACACTACCGCCGCGGTGGTCGCTCACTCGCTTCCATTCTCTCTTCTATTTCTCGGCTGCTGCAGCTACAGAGCGGCCGAGAAGGAGAAGAGAGAACAGAAGCGAACGCTTGCCGCGGCGGTAGTATTCCATCCAGAGCCGGAGCTAGCTCTCTGCGCTCCCTCTCTCTTCTCCTGGCCGCTGCAGCTTCAGCTCCACTCAGAGAGGCGGCTCTGATCACACCCGTTATCGCTCTGAAGCTGCAACTGCCAGGAGAGAGAGACTGAACGCTGACAGGTGTGATCGCCGCCGCCTCTCTGAGTGCTCGCTTCGTGGAGCTGAAGCTGCAGCGGTCGGGAGAAGAGAGAGGGATCGCTTAGCGGTGTGATCAGAGCAGTCTTAAAGAGGCCCCCCTCCTAGTCCACATCTTTTGGACGTTATTAATCTGAGTTGCCCCACTCGGTATGCCCCACG